TGACAATATCGCTGCACATGTGCAGGCATAAATCATATAATAACTGCGCAATGATACATAACGATAGTTTGCGATCGCATTCTCGCATTAAAAGTAACAGACTATGCACACAGAATTTGTGTTCTGTTAGAGTTAATAGCACTCGGAACAGCGTTATTTCGATTTCTCCGACTCGAATGCGCTTTTTGCCGGTCGTATTGTCGCAATAATTGCGGCTCGTGCAGTGATTCGGTTTGTACCAAAGTACAAGGGTGGAACGCACTGAGCGTCGATCGCAAACACCGTTCTGGGGCTCACGCAGGAGATACGATCTCGTGCATATACGAACAGCAACGTCCCCGGCAACGGCTGAGGCTCCCTCCTGGTGTAAGCCGGCTACGCCATTAAGCTGGAATTCAGGTGTATTAACGATGCCGGGCGAGCAGGTACGTAGCGACCACCCGTGGGCACCCGGTAGCACACTAATGGCAACGCCACGGAACCGTTCGTTAGAGAGATTTTATTTCGCCTATCTTACGCGCTCCCTCACTCTGAGTTACGCGACCGCCGGTGCAATGCGGAGAGTCCTCGATAGGAAAGGGTTACAAGGTGCAATTGTGTACGATTGCGTCGCGCTCGTATTCACAGGGATGTTACTTTGATTGCCGCGATTTCCGTCGGCGAAAGTTACAATCCGGCGAGAAATTCTTGCCAGAGTGTTTTGAGAAGTGTGTCTTGGGATTACTGCTATATTTCATTAATTACTTTATTAACGTGTTCTCTTTAACTAAAATACATTTCAAATCCGACCTGGGATCTGAGATATCATTCTGATTGCTGCAACCACGACCGATGTAACATTGGAAAATGGTGCTGCAATATTTGAAAATATTTTTTGAGATTATTGCTGTCTCGTTAATTAATTTACGCTTTACATACGTTTGAAATTATACATTACATCTGCGCGATCTTATTTTTTGTGTGTCTTTCACAAAATGAACAGCAGCGTAGAAGCGGAAGTACGGCGATACCGACTAATCCCGCGAGAATATAAGCAAAGCGTACTGTCTCTATGTTCTTATTTGAGCACTGTGCTTAGCGGCATCCTCGTTATCGAGAAATTCCAGCGAACAGAAGTTCCGCAGGTGCTATGGGTGAATAAGCGGAGGCCGGTGTATCCATGGAATTATTAATTTCTACTTCGTAAGAAATGATACATGAAACACTCATCGTATGATAAGTATCCTTATTAATATAATTAAACCATAAAGTTAACTTTTCTGGCATACAACGATTGATTCTTTTAGAGTCAAGTTTAAATTATAACGCTAGGAAATTTACTATTGTAATAATATTTTATTGTTTATAATTATGTGTATCTATACTGGATAGTTCTAAAGTCCTAGATTTTAATTCCGGATTTTATTGATGACATATCCTTTGAGGAATTCAGAATTTATTAATATTTGTTATGCGCACAAGGCCCTGAAGAAAAGTTGCCGGAGAAATCGAGCGATAAATAAATGCAGAGTCGCGCTCACAGAAACCTCTGATTGCCGCGAGGATAGAATTTCATCGCACATATATAACATAAATGTCTCTCGCGACGATAGCCGTTGCTGAGACATTCTCTCCATATTTCATTAGATTACGTACTTTATACACCTAATGACTCGGGCAATAGCGACTGTTGCACATTAAGAATTGCTGCTTCTCGCAGTGTCTTTTGTACAAAAATATACAAAGCTTAAAGAATTTGATCAAAAATATGATTTTTATAAGGATAATTACACATACATGGGACAGCATATTCATTATATCATATTTCTTTATTGCGTGTTTCAGGTGGTTCTGCCACTTCGATGACGATAATTACGTCAACGTGCCGCGCCTGTTGAAGCTGCTGGACAATTATAACCCGCGCGAGGATTGGTATCTCGGCAAGCCCTCGATACCTGCGCCCTTGGAGATCATCAGGCAGGGTCCGGAGCCGCAGAAACGACCGGTGAGTACAGATCAATCTCGCTTTCTTTTTTCATTCACTTTCTGCTGCGCTCGGTAAACCGAAGCAAGCTGTCCTTCACGATTTATTTAGCATCGTAATGGTACGACAGTAGCAATTTGAAACAACAATAATAACAAGCTTTATCGGCGCGCTTTGCCGCGCTGCATGCGAAAGTGCTGCAGACATGAAATTCACGTGGCCACCTTTGAAGTTTTCGGTGGCTCTCGCGATGAAATTAAATGTATAAGCGGGAGAAAAAGCCGAAAATAGAGAAAAGGAGATCCTAAGGAAAGGGAGGCAATATGGGCAAAAAAAGGCGAGATTATTCGCGAGATTCATTTTCTCTCTTCTTCTTCTTCTTCTCTTCCTCTTTCTCTTCTTTGCGATCTTTAGAAGCGTTACCACGCTGCGCTGTCACTAACGGGTGGTCTTATCGAATTTATGCATCCGCGAGGCGGCGGCTTCCGGCAAAGTCGAATGTGCATACGTCTTGCGTTCGGAATAAAATAGGGATCGCTCCGCTTTTGTGAGCAGTTCGTTCGACGGTGAAGGTAACGCGCGAGGAAAATGTGCGATAGCGTCTATTCTTTTTAATGCTCCCCCGGCGGCGGTGTCTTCTCCATATTGTGAGTTTCAAGCTATTCTCTCTTGCGTCTTATATATACATATATCTCCTTTATCCCGTGCGAGAGTGTATGATAGGTTTTTATGGGTAGATCTTACGCTGAGCTCGCGCCCGTGAAATTCCGATTTTCCTCCGCGGGAGACGCAGTCGTTGCGACCGCGCGCGGTTTACTGTCTTCTCAGGTATTCAATCTACGACATTTTTTGCACACTCTGCTGCACGTATATCCGCGAAATTGCTCCCGGGAGTTCGGCATATTGCATGTAAGATATTTTTTCCTCGTCTTTATCATGAATTTATAATAGTAAAAGACGTCGCAAATATAAAATTTATCGAATATATGACGTCTAACGGCATCAAAAAAAAGATATTGTTTGAATAATGAATATAATATTATTAAAATATACAAAATAATGTCCAAACAATTTTCAGCTACTTTAAATTATAGCAATCTTTGTTTTTCAAAATATTACACTTCTGTAATTTGACTCTTGTAAAATTTTTTTCAAATATTCGAATATTAGGAATTCTGAATTTTTTATTAATTATCGTATAAAATATTAGTTTCTAAAATTGTTTGCTTTTAAATTTTTTATAATTGCGGATAATATTTTGAATTCAGAAATGATTATGAATGCCAAACCACGCGTAAAATGAACATACTCATAAAAGAGAATGAAGTATGCAGTAGAGCGTCTTTTCAAGGCGCAGCAAGCGGAGAAACTCATCCGAGCACAATCATGAATCGATAAAAGCCCGTCTCACGTGCTGCTTTAGGAGATACACGATGCGATTCGGATGTCGCCGATATGATCGCCGACGCTCGGCAGCTCGACGGTTAAAGGAAGCCCGCGATCTTATCTCGCTATGGTGTCATGCTATGAGGCCATTAATCCTTTTTCTTCTGCCGAGACGAGAAATGAAAAAGGAGAGCCGTCGCTGTGACGTCGTTCACGGTTGAGTGGTCGGGCCGATATGCACCGGAAAAAATTCCAGAACACGCGCGTCATCTACTTTAGAAATTGATAATCGTTTTAATCCGCTTGTCCGAAAATTTGAAGTATATCCCTTTTCCTTTTTTTCGCGTATCACTTTCGTGATACGCGCGTATCGAATCAATTTTTAATCGATCGTTTTTTACGTTCGCGGAATTTGCATCTCGCGGCTGAGACAGACTGGGACAAGATACGAATTGGAAAAGCCAATTTCCGCTGCTTCTTTCTTTTATCATCGGAAAAAGGGGTATGAGGTTGCAAGGGGGAAAAATAGATAAAGACGAGCGAGGTTCGCGGCGCTCCCGAGATGAAACGATAAATCTTGCAAAGCCCGCAGGATCCGTTCTTCCTTCTGAGATTAACCGCTTCTTATAAGGTCCGATCGGAACCATTCATCAAGCGCCTTTCTTGATATCTCTTTTCCTGATTTCTCTCCGTCGCTCGTTAAAGTCTAATCACAGCGCGGAGATCCCTTTTTGCCATCTGTGAACTTCGCGCGATCTACGATCGCTGATAATCGATCGGACCTTTCACTACTGAACAAGCTACTGCGCTCGATGAGTTTGAACAGGAAAAGGAAAAGGAGTGAGATTTAGATCTCTGATTTATTGAGTAGTTTGATTATTTGGAAATGCACCATATAGTAATGTTTTCTAGGATTCTTCTTGTTTTGAATGTAAACCAAGTGTCGCAGAAGCTTCTATCGCAATTTTAATAACAGATTTTTCGAATTTTGAGGAAAATAACCATCTTGTATATATTTATATTAATGTGTTGTATTAAATGAAACTATAGATTTAAATATAAATTCTACAAATTTCAATAAAATAATGTTTATTTTAATTCATGTGAGGGCAATTTTTTGAGATAATTATTTGAACTCTGTCGGATCTTAATTTACTTTTTAGAGAAGAAAGATTGGTTCGAAAAATGAAAAGAATCTTATTCTTAGTAAGAAAAATCGGATTGAAGCTTTATACAAGCATAATCGAGAAGCTAATAGTTCCCAGTTTTCTTTTCTGACTGAGAGTAATCCACACCGAAAACGTCGCGGGAATTCGTGATCTATGATCTACAAGAAAAACGTCGACGTACGTAAATTCAACGCGAACGTTTGAGAAAAGCCTCTTACACGCTTATCCGGTTGTCGGAACCATTTTTCACGCCATTATTTCACATGGGGTTCGTCGTCGTGAGATCCGGTCCGACAACTACTACGAGCCCGATGCCAGTCATACAGCGAACTCGTTACCGGTTGGCGAGAGATACACGAAACTCGATCGATCGTACTCTACGTGCATGTTGACGTATCGATCGTCGTGTGGTAACCCACTTAAGTTGATGCGTTGTTCAAGCGGAATTTAAATTGGCCGATATCCTCCGACACGCTCCCTTGGCAGCACTTAATCCATTAAATACGCCGGCAAAAATGACGCTGAATACAAGACTTTTTCAAGCACGCCGAGAGCGTCGAGAGGGTTTAATGATCGGGAGAGTGAAATGGTCGAGGGATGTTAAACGGTTCACTGACACAAACGCTAAATATTAGGGGGAGCACGAAATTAATAGCAGCAATTTGGGAAGTTTAAACGTGATCAATTTTAAGTTGATTTATTCGAAAATTTTTCAGATAGCTACTTACTTTAACAATGTTAAAAGTTTTCTACATGAACACAAGAAATATAAAAAATTAAGTAGCGAGAATTTTATATTCACAAATTATTTGTTTCTTATAATCAGAAAAACGCTAAAGCACTTACAACACTTTACTGTCTGACTCTATGTTACACATGTGAAAATAAAGTAATGTATAGTTTCGCTTATTTTTATTTGATTATGTAAAAGAAATGTCGATGTTATGCGAGATTTATGAAAGGTGACAGGTTCAAGACAGTGTTCCGATCGTTTCATTCCGGTCTTATTACATAGCTATTTGGCACAGTACGTTCTGCATGGGTGAATGGACATTGTTCGACTCGCGCGGTGCGTATAAAAGGGTTCTGACTCGATCTCGGGCGTTTTTCTGCCTTCTATGTGGTCCTCTTTCTTTGCGATCCTCTTCATTCAGTCTTCTTACGATCCGGTCGGACAAGTATCGTGTGCACGAAACCTCTTGGAAGTCGATCGACCGCGGTTCCTATAAGCGCAAGTATCGATAACGCATGCTAACCCATTTAAAACTTTTTGGGTTATATGAAAATCATTTTTGTGCGTCTGATGTTCGGTCGCCGTGATATTAATTAAAATAAAAATTGTATCCTATTATTCCTTCGTAGAGGTTGCGATCTGCGCCGCCTTTTAATTGGGCAAAAAGAAAACCGTCCTGATTTCTTTATCTTTTATTCATTTCGTAAAAAGGGTAATTTGTATACAAGAAAAAGAGTCATCAAGCCACTTGGCTGAAAGATGGTTGTTATTATACTTGCGTTGTGCGAATCAGCTTTTTAATGTCCGCAAATATTAACTAGTTAAACGTCAATTTTGAAAAATTGCAATTCTGCAAAATGCAATGTTTCTTAAACTTTAGAAAAATTTTTTATCACTGAGATATTTTATATTGCAAATGATAAGTACAATATATATAACAAGATAAACTGCAAATTTTGATTTTATTGCGATAGAAATTTTATTCAAGACCCCCACGTCAAGAAATTCAATCCTAAAAGTTCAAGAGGTTTCGACAAATTGTTATTTCCCTCAATATTTTCCGCACGATGAACACATTGAATTTCTGGAGCAGTAATTCTCGGATTTTCGAGCGGGTCGGCATCGAATTTCATCACGTTGCGCGCTTTCCTCCGTGAATGCAGATGCATTCTGCTCGCCCTTATCTCGGGCGCGAATCGCGATTCATGGCGCGGCGTACTCGTGGTAGGACCTCCACACTCGTATGTATCTACGGTGTAATACATACGCGCGGGTGAAAGGTGGTTACGCGTTCGTCGGGCGAGGCATGTCGGCCGGAGAGCACTTATATCCGTTGCCGTGGCACTGGCTGGGCGCCTTCGTGCTCAGCTTCGTCGTCCTTCGTCCGGGGCCGACGTGGTCGAGCTATCTCTCCCGACCGACCCCCCATGGGTGTGGTACCATCTTCCAACCGAGATTATGGTCTCCGCCGTGGACGTTGCTCCCCGCGGGCTCCGCGTACTCGTATATTATATTTGCCCGAGAAATCCTCGAGCACGGCTCGGCGCACACGTGTGTGCCTATCTACCGTGTGTGCCCGGAAAGAATCGGCTCGTTACTGCCCCGACAACTGGAGCGGACCGTGGCGCACCTTCTCGCGAACAATATTGTGTTTAAAAGGTACGGTCGCGATTAATGAAGGATACGGGGTAACATCCTTCGCGGATGAGTTGTATACGGGATCGGGCGTGTTG